ATTATCTAATGCAAATATAAAACTAGTTATACTGTTAACCCAACCCATGCGAGAACCCCATGCAAGTGGATAATATCCACCAAGAATTTCTTCAGTACCCAACACTTTCCCAACAGCAACTGTGGGTCCTTTGCCATTACACAATTCTCTAAATTTTGCAACCTCACCACCATCTCTACTTTGCCTATAAAGTAGAGTAAGTTTATAAGCATCATCTCGTTTTTCTTGATCCTCTTTATATTTAAACCGTTTTGTTGATTCTACAATCTTTGATGAGATCCATTCTGCTTGCTTGTTGTTAATGATGAGTGAATCAACATCATATTGTCGTCCAGTTCTTGGTGGTAGCCTGCGAGTGTTTGGTTTATAGTTTTTGTCTGTATGATAATTAAGTATATCACGTCGCAACTTTCCTGGTATAAGATCATTATATAGAACAATCTTGTTAAGAGAGATACTGGAAAACCTTATGTGTGGCATACAATCTGCTATGATATCTTTGACTGTGTTAATGTTATTTGATGACCAACTATCTGGATCACTCCCAAGTTCTAGTTCAGGCACTTGTTTAGTCCCCCATTGAATGACTGACATCCAAATATCATCTTCATCCATGTTTAGGTCATCATTCTTGAGAAGAGTAATCAGAGTCTCCTTTGGTAAGGTTGCAAGATCCTTCGATTTCAAGATAATATCTGGGTGGGAAGCCATAATTCGATTACTATAGGCCAAAAGTTTGTTTGAAGAGGTTGTGGATGAAGCATACTTATGAACTGTGAGAATGTTTTGTTGAATCCATTCATTTTGCTGATCGATCAAATACGTTTCAATTGTAGTGAGGAGATCAAGTAGTCCAAACTTGTTAGCTCCACCCAAGAGGTTGATCCAACCAACATTCGTGCATGAATCATAAGACATTTGCCCCGTGTAAATATACCTATGATTAATCGTTAATTGAGCGACGGAGGGGAAGTGTAAGTATCAACATCATACATACATCTTTTGACAGTTATATAAATTTTACCTGAGTAATATTTCGAAAACGTCAGGAGTCACATCTTCAAAGGTTATCACTGTCTTTTGAATCGTTTCGGGCGTCTCTGTATTCCCGGTTAAGTTATTTTCAAGAAATGTACTTCTCGTACATAAAACCAAACTATGAGCGAGAAATATTTTACTATTTGGCTCCTTTCCAACATGGATTGAAACGTCTGTATATCTTCCACTTTCATATAGTTTCCTATAATCCACCGAAAGAACAGAGGTTAAGTCAACAAAGTTATTCATTTTGTTACAACTTTTCAGACGTCCGTACGTTGATAACCAATGCCAAATGCCGATGACGTATTCCCTGTGTAACATTCTCTCAGTAACCCAATAAGTTTCACAATCTGTTGTCAGATAGACAGTAGATAGAAGAAAAATATTGCGAGCATTTGTCATAAATACAAGTTTACGAAATTTTCAGTATTAGTATGTATGTTCTGCAGAATTCAGCTTGATTTAATACGATTGGCTGCAGTTCGAAAATAAGCATATTTATTCGTTCATTCATCACATTGTGGAAATATTAATTACGTGTTTGAAAACGAAAATTATAAGATGCCTAAATCAATGTATGTAGTTCTTTTTATCAAGAAGTAAATATTTGCTTTGCCACTTCATGAACTTTATTGCTCAAACATTACAACTTGTAATGGATGCATATATGGATCATACAAATGCTAAATTTACTTAAAAAAAAGTGGACGTAGACGTATTACTCGAGGTTGATACAGTATCGAGGATTTGTGCCTACAGATCGATAGGTATCACGAGCGGTGAAAGCTTGTACTAACTTGTTCGATTGTTATTTATAAAAGTAGTCTCGGTCTCAATTGAAACAGTTAAACCCAATCCCAATCCCAGGTGTCATTTACTTCACGTGACCGCCTCTATCTAGCTTTCAGCGCAAATGATAACAACATTAATGAACATTGCTCGTACCACATAGTAACAACAAACATAACTATGCACATACGATAGTAACTGTCACAGCATCAATGAAAAACCAATTTAATAGATATAACTTAAAGACTTGATAATTACAAAACATCACAAATTAAATCAAAGTTTGGTAACTAAAAACATTTCCCAATCAACCCATTTAAAAATATTTGGTGAACATCTTATTGGAATTTGATATGCTCCTTGTATAGCATGAGGTCTTAGACTTCTCTTAATACCACCAAAATATAAATCACTGCCAGTCCCAAAATCAGGAAAATGACTATCACTATCATAAATTGCTTCTGAACTGTTACCTACAAAACTCACTATACTATCATCCATATTTTTATCTAATGCAAATATAAAACTTGCATCAGTTACAATATAACCTTTTTTATTTTGAAAACCCCATGAAAGTGGGTTATATCCACCAAGTATTTCTTCACTACCCAACACTTTCCCAACAGCAATTGTGGGTCCTTTGTTATTACACAATTCTCTAAATTTTGCAACCTCACTACCATCTCTACTTTGTCTATAAAGTAGAGTAAATTTATAAACATTATCTTGATTTATAGATGTGGATGACTTTTGATTCTCTTGGAGCTGTTTTGTTGATTCCACAATCTTTGATGAGATCCACTCTACTTGCTTTTCATTAATGATGAGTGACTCAATATCATACACTTGCCTTATTCCTGACAGTAACATTGGGGACTTTGGCTTATAGTCATCATCTGTATGATAAGTCAGTATATCATGGCATAACTTTCGTGGCAATAAATCCTCATACATAATAATGTTTTTAAGAGGGATATTAGAAAATCTTATATGAGGTATACAATCTGCTATAACATCTTTGACTGAGTTAATGTCATTAAATGACCAATCATCCAGATCATTTCCAAGATCTACTTCAGAAACTTGTTTAGTAGCCCATTCAACAACTGACATCCAAACTTCATCTTCATTCATGTTAAGCTCATCATTCTTGAGAAGAATGATCAAAGTCTCTTTTGGTAAGGTTGCAAGATCGTTCGATTTAAAGACAATATCTGGGTGGGAAACCATGAGTCGATTACAGTAGGCCAGAAGTTGGTTTAAAGAAGTTGTCGATGCAGCATACTTATGAACTGTAAGAATATTCTGTTGAATCCATTCATTTTGTTGATTGATCAAATAACTTTCAATTGCTGTAAGGAGATCAAGTAGTTCTAATTTGCTAGCTCCATCCAAAAGACTGAACCAATCTATAGTCTCGCATGAATCGTAGGACATCCGCCCAGTGTAAATATACCTATGAATCATTAAAGTGCTGTGAATACTTTGCAGAAAGTTGTATTTTCCAATTATATCACAACGATAAGATAGCTATACATTGACGTGCTCGTCACAATACAATAAACAATCTCGGTACGAGTCAGTTGCGGGACTATTACGGAAGTCGTGACGAGCACGGTACGAGCTATTATGTTGATATTGTAACGATGTCTTAACAATACGATGATATACTCTTTACAATATGTCAACGATCTTCTCATTGAGTTCTCTCAGCTGGTGGGTTTTCATAAAAATATCATTCGCATCTCGCAAAGATATCATAGTGACATCAGTAATGTATGATGGTTAAATATGAACGAGACAGTTGTCGGATCTTAGAGAGCCCGTGATGATCAGTACTAGGTATCATAGTGACATCAGTAATGTTAATGTATGAACGAGACAGTTGTCGGACGTTAGAGACATAATGATTAGTACTAGCTATTGTATTGGTATCATAACAAAAAGTTCAATTGCATTTTTACAATGTCAAGCGTCTTGCCATCTACTAAAGATATCATTTTGATCTGTAATGACAGTCGATTGTTCTTTTCAAAAAGTAAGCTATCGTACTGATGGTGAAAGAAAAACTTGATATAATCATTGGGCCATATAAACTCGCCAATTATAAATCCAATAAATTTATTGATCGATTACTTTCAAAATCAGGATCATATTAATATTAGTTATGAAAACTTACGTCCGTATAACATGTTCATCTTGAGTGAACACAGTCCAGGTTATGATAATAATAAGTTGCTTGCACATCGTCCTACTAATGAATAAATTACAGTTTCATAAATATAAATCACACGATATATCAGCCGCATAAATACAAAACATTCAGTCGTTAGGAACATTACCTTAATAACATCTACACAGATGGTTTTTTTCCCCACAAAGTTGAATGTTGGCAAAAATTATATCCCTAATAATCACAAGCAATTTCCAAATGTTAGTCCCGCATTCGTAGTTCTTGTGAGTAATTCATAAATGTTCGGCGATTCCTATGTGGCTGGTTTGATTATCTTACCATTGTCTTCTGTAATCTCTTGCAGGAAAAGAGCAGCCGTCTGGTTGATACCTAATACAAATTAGCGTAAACTATAAATTGAGATTTTGTGAATAAGCTTTAGGAAACATTAAGTCGTTTGGAAAGAGACTCAAAGTCAACTGGCTTGGATTTACCTCAATGAATAATCTCATATATTACAAAGAACATGAACTGTGTAAATAAGTCGTTTATCAGCTATCCTTCTACCTTGCCATATAACTTTATATCACATGTTTACCCATATGAGCCATCACTGTTTGCATTGTCAATAATTGAACGGATTGACACAATGTATCGGAGTAATCGGTTACTTGATCGGAGTAATGGTTTGCCTATAGAATATCAAATGAATCAGAGAGTGCAAAGAGGGTAGCAAGGAAAAGAGGACGAGAGACTACCAGCGACATATAAAGATGTGATCAATTATGAACTAGAAAAGCAAGATGACCTGAATGAGACAAGAAAAAACGATAGTCAAATTCGTATTGACATCCCTCTTGCTATATTATCTAAAGTATCTATGAATCCATGATCTCTAACCTCTCCTACTGCGACTCTTTTCTCTTCATCCCTAACATTGCTCCCTCAGCTCCGACATGTCCTACCACTAAACCTTTCACCGTCGGCTCTTACATTCCTACAACTCTTTTGGATTACTCATCTCCAACACTCCCGCCTCAGCTGAAAAAAAAAAAGCGTAATCACCTTATTTCTCTTCCTATCACCTCTCTGCCTACTCCGTTACATTTGTGGTCGCATGCGCCTCTGTGGTTTCAATGAGGTTTCATTGTGCTGTAGAAAACGAGAAATGGGTTTACCATTACTTACAAATCCCTCCAGTAGTGAATTGATCACTTCTCCCTCTTAGTTCTATTTCCCCTTCCTTCGCCCCTTCTCCTTCTATGCATACCTTGTCACTTGGCATTAGGTAATTTATGTGAGTACCTGGCTCTAGTCATTTCGTTGTCTGTTGATTGTCTTCTACACGACAGAGTACAGACAAAACGTAAACAAAGGGGAATCATAATAAGACGCCTTTAATCACGTGAACAACTCGCATTTACCCGCTGCTTGAAATATTTATTAAACAGGAATAATCACTGAATTATGCGGGTTGCAAATTTTAAGTGTGGGAAGCTGAAATCATAATCTTTCATTGGTTGATCAGATTCTGTTCTCTAACCCCATTGGTTAGTTTCAGCATCAGCGACAATTAATTAATGTAAAACTGGTGTTTTATTAAATTGTCTGTCTATCTTTTACACAAGTATAAAATAAAACAAACGCATAACTAAATTACATTATAAGAGAAGATGTTTCGAATATAGCGACGATTAGTAAGGTCATGAGAATTTTTACACGTGCTGGTACATGCATGGATAAAATGGTTGTCAGGCATGTTGTCAACAATAGTTATGGGAAATAACTGACGCCATTGTGTTTCTCCGCTTTTTTGTAAATTATAACAAGGACATCTTAACACATTGTCTTCTCCAGCAATTGCCTCAAACCAATCGAATGCCAAAAATGCATAGTATTCGGTGTTGTTTGCTTGATGTCGGAGGATTGCCTTAATTCTTGCAAATGCCACCTGTTCAATCTCTTCATTCATGCTGACAATATCACCAACATGTAGTTTTACCACTTTGCTAGTATTGTCATCTTCGACTACCTTATAAGCAATATAATTATAAAATTCTATCTTTTTGTTGACCAGCGCTGCATCCATAAGCAGATCCACAGAGTACGACTGCACAAGGTCATGGTAAATCGGATTCCCAACTTCTAGCTTATTTGAGAAACCTGCATTTCTGATTTGGGATTTATCCCACTTTTGTCGTAGCACAATATTAGCAAAGCAGGGCAGATGTGAGATCGTTTTACCTATTTGGAAATAAACATTAGACAAAAATATTTGAAATTATATAAAGTGCGTTATTATTATAAAAAGCCCACCATTTTCTTTGCCGGCAATGTCGTTATTAATGGAATCAATATCCATTGCATACCATCCTGACAGCAACTGAGAAATGCAATTGTCTAATACAATTTCAGTGATGTGACTACGTCGTCCTGGAAATCGTGAATCTTCACCTCCATCAACTATGAATCACAACGCTTGAAGGGTGTTGTAACGTCGAACAAGATCTAATTCTAAATTTTTACGATTGGTATGTGGTACCAGGCCTTTGAAAACTCGATGGAACATTTCTTTGGTACCCACAGCCGTATTACGAAGTGTTGCGAAATTATGAGCATGTTGAGGAAGATGTAGGTTGACATGAACGTTTGGAAGATTCTTAAACGTATCAGGAAACATCTACATATAAAATTAAATTAAAATATTAAAAAAAAATTTTTTTATTTTGTTAATGACAGTTTTTTGGTGTTATTTTTACTTTTTACTTTTTACTTTTACATACCTTCACCAAGATATCTCGTTCTTCATTCAGAGTTAATTGTAAAGCATTATAGTCAAGCTCAGTGAAAGAGCGAGAGAACACCATTTTCAATGATTTTGCAACAACTACCCAACAGTTAATTATATTGTTGATTACTTGACTATCTCGTTGCAAGCCCAATCGCTTTTTAAATTCACAACGAATATGGCTTTTTAAATGGGGAGGTGCTAGAAAACGTCGTAATATAAACGGTACCAGCATTGCAATGTTTAACACATCGCTGAACGTGAAACTATGTAGATGAGTTAAAGGATTTGGTAATGCTGACCATCTTGTGGGTTTTTCTATGTGCTTCCAATAATATAGCCACTGTTCTTGTCCGCCATTGCTGAATAAATTCATGGTTAGATCCAGAAGCTTTATTGTCTTTCCAGCCATAGAATGGTATGCGTCTTGGGGTGTTTGTTTGTGACGATCCCATATCAACGTATCTAAGGGTCCCGATTTTAGCATAAGGCCATGCTCTGTGGACCATCGTTCTCGTGCTAGTGATGTAGACAGATTCTCCAGCTGTTCAATCTTTTTTTTAGTTTCCTGGTTGAATCGCGCATTGACAATGTGGTCATACTTAGAATCAGTAAGGTGCATCTGATCCGCCATACAAGTACGGCACCCATGATTTGCTCCATGTCTCTTCACCCTTGCAAAATCATTTCCCTGTGGCAAATCGGCAGTGACACAGCCTATTGCTGCAACAACCCAAAATTGTCCATGCTTTGTTGACATAAAAACACCATGTTGGAGAGCTCTTACATCATGACAGAATGGTTCCAAAAAGTCCTTAAGATGCCCACCAAAGGGTACAAAACCGATTAAGAAGTGATTTCGAATTTGTTTTCGCATGTTAAACGGCATATTTCCAAGCTGTAAATATACGCCGTTGAGCTTGTAGAAGTGATTGCGATAAGCACCAAATTCATCAGCATACAAGTCTATAAAAAATTTTAGAACTGGGAACCCCGGCGGTGCTACAATTGAGGGTACATATTCAGCAGGTAATTGGTGTCTTTGAGAAAGTGGTCGAATTTTCCATGAGTTGTGAATTTTATAAATAATTTCTCCAACTTCATATTCGTATTCGATAGGTTGTGTGCTGTCTTTAAACCAAACAGGCACAGTTGCCAATACTTCGTGTTGCTGCACAATATCCGAAAATCCTTCTAAAAGCCATCGTGAGGTATCTTGGTTATATTCTCGCACTGTACTGTGAAATCGCCTATGGAGTCTTTCATATGCCAAAAGCCTGTCCACTTTGAGACAATATTCATTGTTCTCATTTTTGACAATTGCTCGAATTCGTGCAAGGTTTCTGTCACCTTTTTTAAAATAGATACATTAGCCGTTATTCGAAATGACCAAATAGACATTAACAAATTAAACCTCACCTTCTTTTCGATAATAGATACACTCCCCACTATAGTAAATGGCTAAATAAAAATATTAACAAATTAAAACATGGATGCACACACTAGCTCTCTCTTTCAGCACTAAATACATATCAACATTGGATAAGACATACTTCTATTAATTTTCAACATATGTTTACCAAAAAATGGTGACTCCTTCCAGATCTCCCCATGCCAAAATTCACTCTTTTTGCTTTTCTCAACACCACTACCAAAGTACAGTTTCGAATATATTTTAGGATTGTCAAGACATTTTTGAATTATGTCTTTCACTGATAATGTATATGCCTGTTTGGTTGGCACGCTAGTTGATGGAGTATCCTTTGGCTTTATTGCAATATCGTGACCATATATCTTCTGCAAGGGTAACTGGGTCCTCCATTGTCGTAATCTTCGTACATTACTCACAATATCATCAGAATTAAACTCAGGATGTTGTAAAATCGCCACAAGATCATCATAGGCGGCAGTTGCTAGTAATAAGTATAAATTTTAATATAATATGACAACGATTAAACCTAAGCAAAATACATACATATCATATGCTTTGTCACCCATGTAAAGAACATCATTGTAGTGAAGTTTGGGAAATATGGTCCGTACTGCCCACTGTATTCTTCAAACAAATTTAACGGTTCTTCGACAATTTTGTTATAATAACTTGGCGATTCGTCTTCATCTTCATCTTCATTCTCAGTTTCATATTCAGCTTCTTGGGAAGAGCTTAAATCAGACCACATGTTTTCCTCACAATCAATATTATAATAATCGTTGTCGCTACTTTAATAAACAGCAAAGGGTTATATCATTTACATAAAGTTTTAGTCATATAAAGTTAGCAGCTATTACCTCTCATCTGAGTTAATATGTTCGTTCTCGTCAAAACGTTCTCGTGTTTCATTATTAAAATTATTATTATCTTTAATTATGGCACAATCACCATCGAAATGGTTGCCGGATCTGTCATAAAAATTGTCTTCGATAATGGCATGTCTACTAAATTCAGTATCTTTTTGAGGTAGGGTCTGATGATGCTTTTCGGTATGTGTATAAGTCAAAATATTATTTGAAAAGTACGGTTGTTGATTTAATTGTGTTTGCTGTGATAAACTATCGTAAGTCTTTTGCAACCTGTTACGGCGGCGACTATAACTCTGGCTTTGATCTGCTTTACGGGTAAGTCTCGGCATACTGGAAGAGAATAAAATTGTCTGCAAAAAAGTATAGTAAAAGCTAGCTTGACAGCTGAGACAGTTGAACTCGCGCGAAGCCATTTTTATATTTTTAATTGATCGACCGAAAAGTACCTTGCACGTTTTAATCAAATAACATTGCTGTACGACGCTGCAAATGTTTATTTAGGGACAAGTCTTGGTCTGCTATAACACCGACTTCTGAACTAACTAAATATTAAATGATACCACCTTTTATGTCCAATACAAACATTATTTGCCAAATTCAACAGCCTAACCAAATTTATTCTGTTAGTAAATAACATTGCTGAGTCAGACAATCTAACCAGAATTTTAAAAAATCACAAGTCTGAAAAAGAAATCTAACTAAATGCAAACGAATATCACGACGGGTTATTGTCAACAATCTAGCTAAATTCGCGGTCACAAAATAACCACAGTGAAAACATCACGCTTTAAACATTCTAATTAAGTTAAAGTGTCCAGTGTAAACACGACTCGTAAACATAACAGCTTAACCAGGCAATATTGTCAAAACATCACGATTTAACCATTCTAACCAAATGTTAACCATGTTACCAAATAACATTGTCAAAAAAAAAATCATGACTGTAAAACTGTAAAAAATCATGGCTCATTAAAACTTTGTTGTCAAAACATCACGTTTCGGTATCAAAACATCACGAATTACGCTTTCAATCAAACATTAATACCGAATTCCGACAAATATATATACGTACGTATGTCTCGTCTTATGTCAAAAATTTCACTCACTCAGTCACCGAACAGAAAATACAAGTCTTCGAAACTTACTTTCTTACCGATAGCATTGCATTAACAGAACCAAAATGCTGCGAAAAAAATCTCAAGCAAAGACAAGAAATGCCAAAGTAACTACAAAATGCACAAACATTAACGAGAATACTTCGATGTCACAACCATCTCCATCACCACCAATCAATAAAAGAAGAAAACCAAGCAAGCCTCTTTTTATTCGATATAAACAGGGTACTGTACACTTTTAAGCCTAACTTCACAATTTAGATACGTTGGCT